TTATGTTTTGATCAATTGGCATTTTTGGGGCAACAGTTCAGGGGCCTATGGGGCTTGGCCAACTGGGTACTTGGGCCCCCCCCCCCCCACTCTAATAACAGGGCTAGGGAAGTTGCAAGAAAGAGGAAGCCATGAAATGGGAAATAATGAAAGAACTTACTCTGGTTAAAGATTGATACAGATTCCTACAGGCCAACTTCATGAATGAAAGGATAAAGTTAAATCTCTTTTGAGTAACATTCAACTCTTGATAACTTAATGGATATGTGGTTTGCCCTTGCCTTTTTCCAAGATGTTTCTTGTCTTTCCAGGCTAGCCAGCCCTGACCTCTCTTGGTGGTATCCAATTCAAATACTTAGTCTGACCCTGCTTAGCTATTTCAAATGAGCCAAGGTTAGCTAAGTGTTGTCAGAGTAGCACATTTATAACCCTTCCAATATTTTCTCAATCGGAAGGGGGGGGGAGAGAGAGAGAGATCGGTTGTTACTGGAGCAGCCTTACCAGACCTTATTTTTCCCCATGTCCAGGAAGCGGGAAAGCAGACGTGTATTTCTTACACGAAGGTTAAAAGTGCATTTTTATTATGTGCCTGTTGTTGAAGAACAAGCAACCACTTCCCTTACTGAGGTGAGTGACTCAGAACCTGGCGAAAGATTGTATGGCCAGTAGTGAAAGGGGAGGAAATCCTCCATTTTCTGCAAGTGAATCTTGCCCTGTGCACTGTTGAGTAAAACCTGTTTCCCTTCTCTCTGCTGAAACAGGGAGAACCATGTGAGTTGGCTGCTTATCTTGGAAGAGCTGATCCGTGGTACGAGAGCAATATTAATTCCCTCTGTTACACAATTCCGAAGCTGGCCACTATGGTAGGAGAGAAGCCCTTACTTCTGCATGTATTCATGAGAAATAGATAAGAGATTTTCTGTCACATTCATCAGATGCCAAAAGAAACCAGCAGCATTTCCATCGGTGGAGCTGCTTCTCACCATCCCTCAATCAGAATCCTAAGCTTGTAATAGCCAACTTGACATGAGGACTATGTATGAAAAGCCACTTTTCTGTGTTTTGGGTCATATACCTACCATTAACTGTTCCAACTCATTAACATTTCTGTATTTCATAAAGGTGTAGTTATTGTTGCTGGTGTAAGAATGGGGGCAGGGAAAGGAAGAGAATCTTACTCTTTAGTGTTACAGATGAGACAGCCTATGTGATTCAGTCAAAGGATACTTTTCTTGCTCATAGTCCTATATTTATCAGCATGTGTGCTAGAAATAGCAGACATAGATGGTTTAGACTGATGTAATCATCTTTGATCCCATGCAGCTTTCTTCACCAAGCAAATCCACACTATCTGAATTGTTCATTATTGACGTGATTGCATATTATGTGCGACTGGGCTTACAGCCAGTTTTCTTCCAAGTCTATGCAGTGAAGGTCAGTATTCTTGAAGGATTAAAATACTTATTAGCTTAAAACAAAAATGATTACATTTTACTTAGTCAGGAGGGATTCTTCTGTTGTCTTTCAGATTTTTTTTAATAATGCTGCCTTGGAGCCAGTCGAGGACATTTTCCTCACTGAATTAAGAGTAAACTTTGAAGAATTCAACACTTCCAGAGGTCTGTATTTCATTTCAGGATTTACTGTCTGTTGCATTTTCAGTTTTATTCTCAAAACCTGTAATACAGTCTTCCCCAATCTAGCATCTTCCAAATACCTTAGAATACTATTCCTTTCATCCCAACCCAATGATCAGGTTGGTCATTCTGTAATCATTTATATCATCTTTATATTTAAAAATAACCTCGGACAAGCTGAGCCTAATCTAATGTTTTCTCCTCTAGTAGCACAACCCTTTGGCCTTTTTTCCTCTCCTCAACAATGTTTAGATAAAAGCTCACATACTATTCTCCCGCTTACCACATTTAATGTCCATTAAATACAGAACAGACAGACAGACAAAAATCTCAAGGAGAAGAGCACTGTATATCTCAATATTCAGTCTGTCTGCAAACTAACTGGAAAATTAGTGTCACTGTCATAATTGCCTGAAAGCTGTATCTTTCTTCACTAGACAATTTACCAACAAAGAAAAAACCAACAATAGAATTTCCTGGTGCAGAACTTACATTATTATATAAAAAGGTAAGACAGATTATAAAGAGTAGGTAAAAATGGAAACTATAGACTTTTAGGAATTGGAATGAAGTTCCAGCAAAATATTTCACCCACATGAATAACCGAGTTCAGAATCTGAAGTACTGAAAGTTATGCTTCAAATTTATGTCACAAGCAAATTGACCTAATTGCCACATTATACCTAGAAGTTGGCTGAATTAAAATGTTTTATGTTCTTCAAAAAGATTACAAAGATTAAGAAGAAAGCAAAGAAGTTTAACTCAGAGACTAGGACATTATAAAGAACTGAGAGGAAGTAGGGCTATGCAAAGCATTCAAAAGAGTGGTTCACAAAGCACATTAGTGCAAACAAAACCTTTGTGAAATAGTAAAAGAGCTGCCTTTTTCACAAAGCTTTGAAAGCTGTCCTTGATTCTCTGCTTGCAGGTGTGCATGTGGAAGCAACACTTCCTCTGAGACCTCCAACAAAGTGAAGTGGCTGTAGATGCATGTGCATTCAGAGACAGCTTTGAAAGCAGTCAGCTGGAGCTAGCAAAGGACGCTGCTGCTTTAATGCTTTGAAGAGAAGCGTTCCTTTGGTGCTGATGCGCTTTGCGAAGCACTGGTTTCAAACACTTTGCCCAGCCCTACTCAGCATTACATGAAAAGCCTCTATTGGTGGTCTCTTGGCTGAATAGCCCATTCATTTTATGAAGCATTAATGCAATTATCAGAGTAAAACATGATTGCCAAGCTTCTCTCTTTCTCTTTCTTTCTCTCTCTCTCTTTCTCTTTTCTCTCTCTCTTTCTCTCCTT